TATATATATATATATGGCATTTACTACTGGAAAATAGACTCCCTGATTTTTTACCTTTCAAGTAGTACAATTTACAATCCAAAGAAAGTTCCAGAAAATAGTTTTTTTTCCACCCATGAGCTGGTTCAGTGATTAAGAGTGATATAAATGATGAATTATTTTTATTTGCTTTAAAAAAAAGAAAATTAATTTTTGTAATGCAAGAGAAGTTGTTGAAAATACTCATTAAAAAAACAAGGTGAGTATTACCAGGATCAACAGGCTCAAGAGGTAAGCTGTGTGTGGGAAGAAATTCCAGGAGCATTCTTAAAGTGGGAAGAACCGTGGATATTTTTCTGGATGTCAAGGGGATCAAGAGTCCAAGAATTGATTTCTTTTGTTCATAGTTTTACAGTGAGTGCTAGCTGTAAGCCTGGGCTGGACAAACATGTGTTAGTTGCACCCCTCTCTGGTGAAACAGTCAAAATGGAGACAGTGTTGATTGAGTATTGGCCATTTTTGGCCTAGCGGGAAAGGTACATACACAGTGATCATAATACCCATAGACACCAGTAAAAGGAACACATAAGACTTGTTTAAAGTTCTGGGACTGTTTCATAAGACATTTACTGTCCTTGATGGAAATGAACAGGAACATATATACAGGAAGTGATAAAAGTAACATATTACCAATGGATCCTACACAGATGTTTATCTGGGCCCACAAAGAAGAACATATTATGTGCAGGTAAATCTATGGTTTTCTTATTTTCATGCCTGGTGACCCCTGTGCTTATGCTGAAACTGTTGGATTAGCTGGACAACTGCTGCAGCTGTGTACAGTCTTTTCTAGACCCTGCTAATTTGCATGTGCCCAGTCACAGCCACTGCTCCAGGGAGTCTAAATAGGTTGGTCACACCCTGTGAAGCTGTCATTCACAGTCAAGTCACAGCATCACAATGAGGTGTCCTGCTCAAATCCTTGGACTGTTGTTCTGGTTTTCAGGTAAGGAGGTTTCTAAATTTAATTTTAAAGACCAGGTACGGTTAGTGCTCTGAGGATTTTCAAAGAAGTTGTTTGCAACATGATTAATACTGCATATTTGTTTTATTTTCTCCAAACTCAGGTATTAGATGTGATATACAAATTACTCAGTCTCCATCCGTGGTGTCTGCATCTGTGGGAGATAGTGTCACCATCAATTGCAAGGCCAGTCAGAACATTGGTAGTTGGTTAGCTTGGTATCAGCAGAAACCAGGGGATGCTCCTAAACTCCTGATCTACTATGCATCCAAGCTGGAAACGGGGATCCCATCAAGGTTCAGTGGCAGTGGATCTGGTACAGATTTCACTCTCACCATCAGTAGCCTGTTGATGGAAGACGTTGCAGCATATTATTGTCAGCAGTATGATACCTCTCCTCCCACAGTGATACAGTTAATAACATAAACCTCACAGAGAAGCAGAAGTGTGAGGCTGGGTTTTCCCAGTTGCAGCTGTTGGAGCGTGTGAGTGCTATGAGGCTTTTGCAGATAAACCTGCATTTGGACAATCACTAGAAGGATCTGTTAGTATGAATCACGGAGGCTGTTCTGTATCCCAAAATTTGCTCTTTGTATTCAATCTAGAAAGCACAGAGGTACAATTACTCTTCTGATTTATTAAAAGACTTGGATCTTTACACACAAAGTAATTAGATTTAACA